AATCACTGCGGAGAATCCTATTGGTGTGTATTTCACATCTTGTTTGTGTTTTTCTACTGACACATCTGAAAACGATTTTCAGATTACGTACGTTTTTATCGCCTCCCATTATAGTTCCACCAGGCCCACCAGGTGACCTTGAAGTGGCAGACGTGGACTCAGACAACGTAACCCTATCGTGGTCAAAACCACGCAAGACAGGTAACGGAAAGATCAGCGGGTACGTTGTGGAGTACAAACCGGCAACAGGTGAGTGGACGAAAGCCACCACCGTGAGCGCCAAGGATAGTGAGGCAACAGGTGAGTACTGGAAACTCTTCTTTAAGGCCACATTTTCGGCTTCTTCAATTATTATTTCTGTTCCTACTTCAAGTGAGTGGGCTAAATAAGGGCGAGAAGTACTTCTTCCGAGTCTCTGCAAAGAATGAAGCCGGACGCGGTGAACCTGCGGAGACTACAAGAGCTGTTCTTTGCAAGCCAAAATACGGTAAGTTTGCCAGGTCTAATAATAGATAATTGAATAACTGAAAAATTGGACTAATAGTTTCCAATAATGAAGGCTGGGTCCAACAGTGTTATCACCGCCTGTGACAAGTTTAACAGACTTCTAGTTGTAACACACTCAAGGTAGATTGTTGATAGTCGGCTTTGTGAACTGAAATTCCATATGCAAATTTCCAGGTCTATAATAATCTCAAAAGTACTAAGGGGGCAATTAATCAAGCCTGAGAGTTGTGGGTTGAGGCGAAAACGCGACTACCTGGGGCTAGCCAACGCGGCCTACATGAGTCATACACCGTTGTAGCCACAGGTTGGCCTTGGAATTTGATTGGTTGATTCTCGCATTGGTTAATTAGGGAGTGAGCAGAAACTGCCACTAGAATGCTTAACTGTTCACGGAGGTATAGACGGACAGAACTTAGGGTAAAAACGACAAATTGTGATGAGAAGAATGCGACCTGTGACGCTGCATAACATCCGGCAATTTCCCATTAACTTCCTGGCTTAAATTCCACAAAACGAGATAAGATGGATCAGAGTAGTCGAAGATGATAGCGTAGTCAGAAGTAATTTTGTTTTGTTTAAAATTAGGAGGACTGCAATTAGGTACTGTTTCTGATATCCACGGTTATTGGAAATTTGGATATTTCAGACGCTCCCGACGCTCCCGGGGTTCCCACGGTAAAGGATGTGGATAAGGACTACGTGGAATTGGCGTGGACCCCGCCACTTAAGGACGGTGGTGCTCGAATCACGGGCTATGTAGTAGAGAAGAAACAAGCCGGTAGTGATGAGTGGGTTCCTGCCACGGCCGATGGGAAACCAGTGTCTGGCACCTCAGCAAAGTTAGATGGCCTCACAGAGAACGCTGACTACGAGTTCCGAGTCAGGGCTGTCAACGCAGCTGGACCCGGAGAACCTAGCATTCCCACGGAGATGGTCAAGGTTGCGAAGAAGAAGGGTAATTTC